TGGCAGCGGCACCGCTCCGCTGCCGTTTGCCACGGCGAAGAAGGGTCCCTGCGTGCCCCAGAGAGCGGCTGTGCGCAACGGGAAGCGACAGCACGTCCCAGGCGGGCGGCCTCCTCGCTCCGACGCCTTGGCACGCGTCTCTGCTCCAGGGTCTCATCCAAGAAGCCCTAAAAGCACTTGTCACGGCAGGAGCACAAAGCCTCTGACACGGGGAGAAAAGGCATCCTCCTGCAAAGCCTTTTTCTGCTGAAAAGGACCCCGCTTCGATGACAGTTAAAGGCGTCAGGGAGAGCGGCTGGGGGTCACCACGCCATGCCACACTGGGCTCATTTACAACCAGCAGAGCAATCCCTCCGCTTCGAGAGGTCATCTTCTGGCAGGAGACCAAAAGTGCAAGGAAGTTTTCCAAAGAAGCCAAGTGATTAACACCAAACTGTAACTGTAAAATTTCATTAAAAGGAACGGACTACGTGCTGCTAGAGTAACGGCGAAAGAGCGACAGAAACAGGCAGCAAGAAAGAGATACACGAAGTGCAATAAACACCAGCAGCTCCATGACAAAAGGCCAAACTATTTGCACAACCACCACCTCTTGTGCTCGCACAATAGCAACATTTCAGTCAAAAACAGCGAGTCACCTCCTACAAGCAAAGGCCACCCCGATTTTCAAATTTCTGTTCACCTTTCTGTGCATCTGGTGCTGGGATAAAACAACACAGCGCAGCCCTCCCTCCCCCCCCACTCCCTCTGCTCCTCCGTTTACCTTTGATGTTCAAACACTGTGTTTAGCTTCTGCCCTGCAGTTCCCTGCTCTGCAGAAACCCTCCGGGACTCTTTTCTTGCTACTTACATACGGGGCTGAAGTTTGTTCCCAGAAGCCAGAGCAGACGCTCGCAGCGCAAGGACGAACGAGAGTGCAACGGCACGAAGCCCCATCGCGGCAGGGCCGTTCTTCCCCCCCCCCAGCAGGCGCCCGCAGCCCCCGGCCGGCGAGCTCCTGCTCCTCGGAGGATGCTCCTGCTCCTCCCGCTCCCGACCTGCCGCCGTCTCTCGCTCCGGCAGAGCGCAACGCTGCTGGAGCACCCCGGGGTTCCTGCGCCGGGACGGCAGGTCTGTCACGCCGGGAGCCTTCCTCCCAGATGGGCTCAGCTCAGCGCGTTTCCTCAGTCCGTGGGAAGGGACTACCGTGCAGATTGTCACCGGGTTTTTCCCCAAACCAAACCTGGCTTCTTACGCTGCTTTGCTTGCGGTGAAATGCGCTGAAGTGACTTTTCCTTCTGGCGTTTGCTGCCTGCCAAAGCCCGCAGACCCGGTGGCTCACAAGACCTGGGTTCTGTCCAGCAAGGAAGCCCCGGCTGGGCTGAGCTGGGTGCGAGTCGCGCTCCGCTTTGCTCCAATGTAGAAATCGGCACCCGGTAAGCGGAAGGCAGGAGCAGGGGTGCTCCCCTGCGCGCAGACACCCACCTCCCGGAGGGCTCCTCCAGCAGCGGGCAGAGCTGGCTCACCCCACCGGCACGGCCGAAGCCATCCCCCTGCTACAGCCCCCCACCGTCCTCCGGAGACGGGACCCACCAGCTCCGGCACCCCCTGCACACGCTCCGAGCAGCGTCCCTGCGTCTCACCGGAGCAGCAGAACTTTCCTCCTGCCTTTCCCAGGTCTAGCTCCCTTCCCTCACACGCTCTCCTGGCTCTTCCCTTGCTGATAGCCAGAAATCCCTCCCACCAGCCGTGCCCAGCCCCGCAGAGGAGGGGGAAACCCTGCGGAACGGGAGCAGAGAGGGTTCGGGTTTGTTTCTCCCAAGGCAGCTCTCCCGCACTGCCCAAGGCCGGCTCCGCACACAGCACCCCAAACCTCCTTCCCAGCAGCTCTACAACCCCCCCGCAGAGGTTTAACCCTTCCTCTCTAACAGATAACGGCACTGCTCGCTTCCCAAGGAAGTTTGGCCGGAGGGCGAGGGGGGCAGGGACAGACCCGACCCGCGCTCGGCTGCTCCCGCGCTGTCCCCAACCCGTCCCAGGCTGCAGGGAATACGCCGGGCAAGGCTCTCACCGAGGAGCATCGGCCAGGCCTAACAGAGGGGAAGGCGGCATCTTCCACTGTTCCTGCAGAAGCAAGGCAACTGCAGAAAGACGTTTTACAATGACAGAGAGAGCTCTGGGGCACAACAAGCTCAGGCCTCTGTTTTCCTGTCAGGACTTTTCGTACCGTAGGAAACCGTAAGACTGCTCCCGGTTGGTCGTCCGGTGCTCACCTACCACTGCTACCC